AACATGTAAATACAGCGGGTTACATCGCTATTTCACAAACCAAACAAATTACGGTAAAACTGTAAATTAGGAAACGATATCCTTGAATACCAGTCGCAGTTCAACGAAACAGAGAAATAACACAACGAAAAGGGGGCAAGCACTTTTATGACTAATAAAAACCAACTGACATGGCAACGTTCAGCTTCTTGGCTCAAATAAACGGCTCGCTTTCATACAATGAGACGCGTTATACTTTACGCATACACAAATACTACGGTTTAACCAGGAAGAAAAAACAAAACAAGGGCATTGATTCTGACTTGTTTTTTAGCCGAGGGATAAAACGGACTTCAAAATACACATACAGACAAGCAGACACACTAAACAAGCAACCACCAGTATCGCCAATGGAGTAATTAATAAACTGTCGCTCGCCGCGGAAACAAATAACAGGACGTTTTTGTGTAATGACCAAGACAGACAGACAATTCTATAACAGTTTTCAGTGCAACACAGAACCCACAGAAAGTGTCTGAAAAAAACATCAAGAAACGTGCTTAAGTGTCAGGCAAAGTTGTGTGTCCGCAGGATGTGTGTCAATGGGCGCCGAAACTAGAGCGGTCACCCTCTCAATTTGTAACATGGCAAAGATGGCCACATACCAGTGTGATCATACGTTCTGATCCCCGTGTGGATTCCGGGGCCCTATTATAGGGAAAACAAGAATAGACCCACTGCCTACCCAAAAAGCATGTCGTAAGAGCCGACTAATTAGAAGCTTCCTTCAAAGTCGGAATGCATCTGCCTGAGAGACAAGGAACCAGCAGTCTGCATACAAATGAGTCAGATCTGTAAAACGGATGCACACGCTACACTCAGGTTCTGGAACAGGGCTGCAGTCCAGAAGTGGACGAACAACCAGAACTTTCCACCGGAGTTTTCAGCTGGCGAACGAAGAAGAAAATACGTTCTGTTTTCTTCGGCATAGTCCCGTCCCCCACCCCCCTAGATTTAAGGTTTAAACAACGGTCGCTATCATGACACCTATAAGTGCTCTGTTCTAACTCAAGTCCGAGTCATAAGAATCTCAGCGCAGTGCCCGAACTCCGTTGCACTGGCGAGGATCCTGAAATACTTTGGGTAGATTTTTTAAACTCCAGATTTTGCCCGGGCAGCGCCGTTGGGCTACTCTTTTCGCTTTTCAACTGCCACCAGATTTTTTTTACGTGCCTAACAATGCTCACGGGCGTCCGATCATACCCAAAGACCAGGGAAAGCACACAGGACACACGCGAAGTCTTGTCAACGATCATAGGTCTTGCATTATTAACAGCGCGACGCTGATGTATATGTTTGGGGGGGGGGGGGTGGGGTTATATCTCAGTTCCAATGTATGTGTCCGGAGTGCTGTGAAGATAATCCAACTCGTAACTACCCAAAGATCAGGGGAAATTATTCGAAGTCCATGTGAAAAAAAAACCCCGCCTTCACCGGGGTTTGAAGTCGGGACCCCCGGCACTCAAGGCAGACACCATGCCCCGAGACCACTCAGCGCCCTATTTCCGGTGTGTCCCCGCCGTCAGTCGGTATTCAAGATAATTGCTTATTGTCCCGTTTTGTACAAATCTAGGAATAAGCTTGAGCATAAACCTTTTTTTTTTTTAAACAATCCGTAGACCTAATTAGATTTCAGCCTTTTAATGCCCTAACCAAATACAGGGTAACCATTCTTCATGTCCTCATCGGGACAGTGCCATTTTTTTTTTCATGTGTGCAACAATCGTCCTGTAGGAGTTAAAAAAAAAAAAAAATCAAAATTCTCTCGTTCATCACAAAATATGAATTAGCTCGAGAAAGAACATAGCTTATAGCTACATCTGTACGCCTGATTAGATTTCAAAGTTTTGGATACTTGCAGTGGTAGTAGTAACAGCAGCAGCAGCAAATGAATTGTAGAAATGTTTGTTTAAATGGTGACACTCACTTGCTTGGGATGCCCCATTTTCAGCTCAAAATATTATGGCCACCCTACCCTTTAATCATAAACAGAAGCTCGCTGTTTAAACATTAGTTTTAACTTATATCCCCATGTGAATTCCGCGGTTGCAAATTATTGTCACCCTAACAGGCATGTGGTGAAAGTCGACTTATAAAGAATTTTTCCTTGGAAGCTGGAGTGTATCTGCCTGAAAGTCGAGGAACCAGTAATCTGCACACACACACAAAAAATAAGCCAGATCTGCAGATTGAATGTGCTGGCAAACCTCAAGTTCTGCAAAAAGACCAAAGTCCAAAAGTAGACAATCAAGAAATTTCTGACAGGGTTTACAGCCGGTGAAGAAGATACATATCATATTAATTCAAATGTTATGTATGTTTAGCCTTCACGACACTATTATTAAACACTTAAACCAGGCATAGGCCTCCTGAGTCTCCAGTTAAAAAACGTGTAAGAGGGTTCAGTTGTTCTTTTTCAGTTTCTGTTAAAACCTACTAGGGGCCTTCAAGTAAAAACCTGAAAATTGTAATAGAAATTATAATAACCATGCCATTGTTTCGTAACCTGTCAATATTGTTGCTAAGGATGTCAAGAGTGTTAAGCACATGAAATTAGATGCCGTCACAATGACAGCTTAAAGATGGCCTCAACACTTTTGACATGCAAAAGAGAGGAACAGTGTTCTGTTATCCATTTTTTTAATCAGTGAAGGGGTGAAACCTATAGAAATTCATTGGCAAAAGAAAGCCCCAGTCCAGTATGGTGATGTATGTCTGTCAGTCCATCAAGTGACTGAATGGAGTACAAAGTTTTCAAATGGCATGACTTCTGTGACAGACTGTTTACGACTGGATCAGACAGACAGAATAGTGATCCTAGAGTCGACTGCTGCCCTCGAAAGGCCCTCGTACAGAAAAACAGCTGACAGACTGTGAATGACATCTTGACATCAGTCAAGATTCAACACACCACATCATCCATTTAATGCGTGTGTATGCTATAGGATATGCTGAGACTGCAGTTTGTGGAAAACTCCAAAAGGCAGGAAAGAACTTTTTGGTCTGTTGAAGAGGTACAGCAGATGGTGCATGATTGGTTACATATGTGGCCAAGAGACCAAGCATTTTATCGATGCTGGAGGCCTTGCACAGGATGCAGAGGTGACTACATTGAGAAATTATACATTTGTTTACTTTTTCAGAATTTATTCAACCCCCTCTCTCCCCTTTTTTTCCCCTTACCCAAATAAAGGCTTTATTTAAAATCACATTGTACCACATTTTTAAAAATATATATTCTTTTTTAAAGATTTATTTGCAATTCAGGATAATATTATTAAACACGTAAATAAGGCATAGGTCCCTTAACTCTTTGAGTCTTAGGGGTTTTAGCATCACAGGCCCAAAGTGTAGTAAGGAGAGTCATAAAATCACCGCATCATGTGTTCATTGGGCTTCTAGGTAGGAACCTATGAACGTATGATGCGTTCCTTGAGACTCAAAGAGTTAAGCTACAAAATTATACAATTTGTAATGAGGCTGACTGAAGACTGCTATTTCCCCCACCACCAGAAACACAAATGCTCCTAAGGTAATGTGGGACAGCGTATGGGTTTGATATGTATAGAAATCAAAGTCATGGTTTCTATGTCACAGTGAGGGTTCAGGAGCCCCACTGGGAAGGGGGGGGGGGAAGGATAGACCCAATGCCTTTAACTCTTCCAAGCCCATGAATTTTGACAGACCTGGCTCACATTTAATTACCCATAACAAAAGTGGCAGAGAGAGTGAAAGTAAAGTAAAGATTCCTTTTTCACGCCTTTAGGCGTATAGGGCATATATGGCTAGACATATTTTTTATAGACCAATCAGCACAAGAAGGGTGATGTGGTCAGCATCACGCCGGCCACCTTTACTTCCCGGGACTGCTCTCGGTACCCATTCAAGACTGGGTCGACCTAGGAGTCAAGGTTATTTTTGAAAAAAGTCAGGCTCTGCCAGGGCGCAAACCCATGACCTTCCGATCTGCACGGGAGTGTCTAGCCGCTACAACACGGGAACTCCCGGCAGAGAGTGTGGGGTCACAATAAAAGCAATAGAGGGTGTAATATATTTCTAATCTCTATAAAAGTATCTATTTTTGTAAAGAGGAATGAGTGTAAAATTTGAATCTGATGATATGTGAATGTTTAATACTGTTACAGTTTGTAGTAGAAAAGATGAATTTAGCAGGTGTTGAGTTTACAGAGACAAAATTTTACAAAAATGTTCTTCCCTTACCATGGTTTTGCAGCCACATGAGCAGTGAATATCTTTATTTGAGAATATCACTTCAAAGTCTGTTCAGTTTCCTAACAAATTCCAAAGTTATGATAAATTTCTGGGTTAGTTTGGCGTTCAGAGTGCCATTATACACCCACTATTTACTATATTCAGTTTTATAGTCTGTAGCTACAATAATTTCAATGCAACTTAGCCATAGTGTGGTACTGTCTTTTTGTCTAGAGCACTTTTTTTCTCTTACACCCTAAATACTGTAGCAAAGGAACATTCTCTGCAGTAAACTAATCAGAATGGCTAGATTCCCTTACAGCCGATGCTCAGCTGCCGGTGGTGTAAATTCACTGTCCAAATCCCTTTCCCAGTATCATTATCAGAATTGAAAACATTTGACTAAAAACAATTTCAGAGCATAGGCAGCAGTTAATGAATGGTAGTTCAGAATTTACAAACGAATACGAATCTGTGTGTAAATCAATATGTACAGACACACGAATGATACCGAGTGTTTGCAACTGGAACTTCTCAATCAACACTCACAGCACTGCTAGGGCCTCAAAGAGTTAACAAGCATGCCATTAAAAAAAAAAGAAAAATCAAGCGCTTCTAGAAATGTGGTGATGGGCCGAAAGGCACAGATACCACAGCTAAGCTGTAAACTACAATTCAATATGCTCTCCGTCCTTTTAAAGGCTAATGCTGAAGAATAACGAAGAAAGATTTCAGGCACACAAACTTACCTGTTAAGAAATGCTGCGAATTTGGACCGTATGCGTTCAGGGCATCTTGAAGATGCTGTAACCTGTCTTGCAACATTTTGTGTAAGGAGTTCCACCTGGGGACACAGGCAACAATTAGAAACATCATCGACACACTAGCAGAGAGATACAGAAGGTCTAAGGTTAAAATCCACATCGAGGCTGATGTTTTCACAACTGACCCTGGCTTCCAGGTTCAGACACCCTAAAATGGGTACCAGATAATGTCCTGGCAAGAAAAAGTGGCTGAAGTAATGGTGACCGCATCACCCATAGACGGCCTTTTGGTTTATTAAAATATAAGTACATGACTTCATTTAAATAGTGCTGTGTTTTTTTTTTTAAACATTTCCTTTCAAGAAACCACACAGGTCATATCTAATGGAGTTAGATCTGGAGAACAAGAAGGCCAAATTCCATGTGATATTCTGCGATTTGTTCAATAAAAAATATACATTGTTCCGTTGATAACACCATTCTGTTTTGAATTACTCCAGCAGACAACAGCCATTTACTGCATATTTAAAATAGATGTGCATACAAAATTCAAGTTCTGGATCAAAATGAAATCCAGGAATGGATGAACAACCAGAACTTTCTGCCAGAGTTTACAGCCAGTGAATGCTAAGAAGAATAGATGTCAGCAGACGCATGCTTCACATCAAATAATCACGAGTGCATAAAATTATATAATTAGTGAGATGTGACAGTGTATCTGACCTCTGGGTGAAGTCCTCTAGTCTATGTACATTATGATGAGAGAGAATGACATCCGCCTCTTGGAGCCTGTTGGCTTGATCTGTAACGTCATCAACTTCTCCTTGAAGTGGGTACCTAAGTTGGAAGCTCTGTAAACAATGTACAAAAATATATTAAACTGTGATAGATCTTTAGGTTCGATGTATAAATACTGAATAATATGCAGTAAAGAACTAGAAAAGGACCCTTGTCCACACCTTCAGGCATATTGGAGATATAGTGCTAGACCAATCAGCAGCTGGTGGGTGGTGGAGCCAAATAAAGAAGTCACCTTCACTTCCCAGGACTTTACCTGGTACGGATTTAAGGCTGGGTCCATCTGGGAGACAAGGTCATTTTGGAAACCTGTTCAGCTTCATTTGGATTTGAACCCACAACCTTTGGTTTCAAAGGCGAGCGTCAAGCTGTTATACCATGGCAGCTCCAAATACAGAAATTAACAAGCAATTAAAAAAAATTTCTAACTTTCAGAATGGATAGTCTGATAGGCCCAAGAATAGACATAAGTAAAGACATCAATAAAACTGAATGCGAGTCTTGAACTGCTACTTTTATTCTGTTTGTAACTTCATAGTAATGGCTACAACACAACCCTTCTTCTTTGTTGTTCCCTGACTGTAAGCTCCAGTTGAAGGTTCTGGTTGTTCATCCATTTGGACTCTGGCTTTGTGCCAGGGCCTGAGTTTAGTATGTACATCCATTTGACAGGCTTATTTGTGTGCTGTAAGTTGTTCCTTGCCGCTCCAGCAAATGTATCCAACTTTGAAGGAAGTTCTGAAGTAGTCGACGTCTACGACATGCTTGTTGGGGAGGCAGTGGGTTTATTCTTGTTTTATTCACAATGGGGCCCCAGAACACTACATGGGGACAACACAACCCTTACCTTGGTTCTATCAATTTCTGTTTGCAGCTCCCCTATGATAATATCTGCAACATTTGGCCAATCTTTAATCTCCCTCTCTGCTGCTACCAGACGATCATGCAGACAGTCCATTGAGTCATGGAACATCATCATACGCTGAAAAAAAAAAAACATATCAGGTTAGTATATTTATAAAAATAGCTATGACTAAATATACCTAAAACTAGCTTTGACTAAACCATGACTATTCAGAGCACTAGCTTTAGGTACATTTATGGCTGTGAAACGTGAACCTTAAAAGCTGCACTTGAAAAAAGATACAAAGCACTGGAAATTAAATCTTTCAGAAAAATTCTTGGCATATCATGTAGAGACCGCATCACAAATGATAAGATTCATGGCATAATTATCCAGCACACTGGCAACTATGAACCTCTTTTAACTACAATGAAAACATGGAAAATGCAATGGTAAGGAAAAGTAGTAAGATCTATGGCCTCTCAAAAATAATACTACAGGGCTCAGCAGAGGGGAGGAAAAGAAGAGGCAGACCAAGAAAGACAGGGTTAAAGAACCTGACTGACTGCACAGGCCTAATGCATGTACCCATCAAGTCCACTGCATCTGACCATCAAAGGTGGAGGAAGCTGATCAGACAATCAACAGCAACTGGTGATACAACAACACACTGTTATGGGATGTTGATGATTTGATTAAGACATCATTACAGTAAACAAACAAACTGCAGTATGCTGCAGGTATTATGGGAAAATAAAGAGAATGGAATTACTTTCAGGATAGCCAGATCTGTTAAGCATTCTCTGGCTAAATTTTCAAATGTAAGGAGAAACGTAAGACCAAAATGGTTAAACAGCTTTTCCCGACATAACAAACAACACACAGCATAAATACCTGAAAACCTCATCCAAGTGAATCTTACATATGTAGCTGTGATTAAAAACTTTCTTCCAACACAACACATCTCACCTCAACAACCTCATCCAATTTCATCTGCCACTTCATGCTGTTCTGGTTTAGCTCAGCCCACCTCTGGTTCAGCAGTCTAACCTGACTGCCAATCTTGCGTATCAAAAGTCTGGCATCTTTCTCTGATGTGCCATCTGGATAGCTATCATCTGTTACAAAACAGGCAATGAATATGTGAAACAGCAGTAACACATCTTCATCATCAGAAGTGTGAAAAAGCATTTGTATGTGACATATCAAACTCATTTTCATATACGACTTTAAGGGAAATATACGACCCCATGGAAAATATATGACCTCAAGGGAAATGAAATATACAACCTCATAGGAAATATATGACCTCATAAAAAACAAAAAGGCTGGATAAAACAAGAATAAAAAAATAAAAAAAAAAAAAATAAAAAAAAAACTGCAAAGGGAATATACCTTGTATTTTCAGAATAAGTAAAAGTAAAGGACCCTTTCCCCGCCTTTAGGCATATAGGGCTAGACCTATAAATTATCAGAATAGTTCAATAAAATCTTAGAAACAACATATGAGCAGATAGGCTGAGAGAAGAACAAAGGCTGCAACAGGCTAAACTCTTCAACAAGCACTTATAGATGATAATTTGTGAAAAGAGTGAATTCGCTTGTATAAAACACCCCTGTGTATAAGCAACCACAATTTTTTATTCCAAAATTGAGAAATACATATTTAAAACCCATTTCGTGTATAAGATGACACCTAACTTAAAACTTTAAAAAATAAAAAATTTCTCTGTATGGGTTCCAGGGCTTCACTGTGGGGGAAAACAAGAATAAACTCTCTCAACAAGCATGTTATAGGAGTTCATTAAGTAGGGGCTTCTCAGGCATCTGCCTGAGTGGCAAGGAACAACCAACTAAACACATGTAAGCCAGTAAAATAGTTGTACACGCAAAACTCATTCAACGAGATTATACACACAGTAATTGTCCATATCGGCCAACTATAATATACAGTTAACAATAATCGTCCATATCAGTCAACAATATAATACAGATAACAGTAATCATTCACATCAGTTACCAATATTATACAGATAAAAAAAATAGTCCATATCAGTCAACAATATTAAACAGACAACAATAATAAGATAACAAGAGAACGATTAGAATCGTGAGAATGTCAGGTCAGAGCCAAGGACATATAAAAGACAGCTGGCATGATACCAAACAATCACAATACCCAACACAAACCAACAATTCTTGATAGGGTTGGTCTACGACATCCTGGGCAAAACATGCAACTAACGTTCATAAAAATACTAATTCTACAATTCCCATCCATATTCATCGAAGCCTTGTGTATTGATATTAAAATGCCGTTGACTGACATAATTAAATAAATTACTAAATTAGGAAATGAAACAGGCATTCACTCACCAGTGCTTTCTCCACTGCTATCGTAGCGAAGGTCTTCCCCTTCCTCCCGCAGGTAGAATTTCCCAGCATCCAAGCTTTGTTCTATAAGAGGTCTCTTCAGTTCCAGTTGCTGTTGCAGACGCTGCAGAAGTAGACATGTTGCATACATTAGGAAATCCAACAGGAATATATTAAGTTTAACACATTTCCAGAAATAACATCACAATTAAAAACATATAACATGGTTATAAATTTATTCAGTTTAGGTATAGTTTGCTACAAGTATAACAGTAATTAAATTATCATTATTATCATTATCAAGTGCTTTGATGACTGGCATGGCTTATCATTCTTCATTACATCTTGCAATCTCAAACAGTGTGTACCACTTCTGAAGCCATGACTATGAGTTCCTAAAAATCCTCTCATTTTCTTCATCTGTTGCCCTATTAAGCCAACAGTTGAACAGGCCCAATTACTGATGGTTGTGATAAGATAACCTAGCCATTAGAAATACATTTACATCACTCATTTTGACTGTCAAAGGAATTTTAAGTATTCTCTAAAACCACATCTCACACAAACTATATGATGACTTTATTTTAAAGAAGAAAAAAAAAAAAAAAAACACTACATGACAGCTCTCTATAAAGGAAACAAACTACCTGATTTTCTACTGCCTGTCTTTGAACACTGGCCAAGTCTCCACCTATCGGCTGCTGCTGATGCAGCTCTACCTGTCTCTCACTGACCCAGGTGAGCAGTGTCTGCAATGTTTTCACCAGTCTCGCCCACTGGTCTGTGTTACTTTCCAGACGGCCTCTGCAACAGAACAATAATATTACGTGAAAAAAATCTGTTATGGAATCAGGGAATATAAAACTTACACAAAAATGCACAATGGTAAAAAAAAAAAGACTGCATGATACAAATATAAAGTAACAAGTAAAACAGATAAAAGTAACAAGTAAAAACAGATAACAACAGTACTACAAAAAGCACCTGAAAGTAACTGCAGTGCAATGAATTTATAAACAGTATTTATCTAAACTCTGTGATATAAACAGTAATAAAAACTCTACACTTAAGAGACCATGTTGTATAACATAAACAGCATATTAATAAATATAATATCAAAAGTATTTTATTCAGTATTTCACTGTCTAGAGACTACAACCCAATGCCCAACGAGGACAGATCAAGTGAAAGTTAAAAAATAAGAGCTGTGGTAGAACACTGGCTAAGTGCTTGCATGCTGGCCAGAATATATATATGGTTCAAATTCCCACTGAGGTGGAATGTTTTAAATGACTTAGAGCTCCCTAACCAACCCAGTTTAAAATGGATTTACAATAAGTTTACAAGACAGAAAAAAAAAAAAACCACACAATTAATTTCATTCCCACCTCATTTCCCATGAACCTAGCTAGATATCAGTTATGATGCTGAATTCTCATAATATATCCAAAATATCTTTGCTGTCCAAATAAGCTTTACGGTCAATGTCTCACTTTCATAATCATTACAAGATACGTACAGAAAAATCAACCAATCTAACTAATGTCCACAAATTTTCTTTCTTTTTCCTGAGTGTTCAAATTTATTTCTCATCATACATTGGTCCAACAAATCTTAATACCATGTCTAATTTTCTATATCATGTCTAATTTTCTATATCATGTCTATTTTTCTATATCATCTAATTTTTCTATATCATGTCTAATTTTCTATATCATGTCTAATTTTCTAGACTGACTAATTTCTCAGATCAGTTTACAAGATACATACAAAGGAAAATAACCAACAATTATCAACAGTACCCGTTGTCATCAATTTTTCATGTTCAAGTCTCCAAACATAGTCAAAACTTGGCTGTCATGTTATCTCTCTAATTTGTATAAGAGATTTGAATAAAAAAAATCATTACGATCCTCATCCTTTTGTGCCATTACACATCAGGCAGGGTTCAAAGGCTATTCCTCCATTCTGTCCTATCATGTGCAATTATTTCAATATCATGGATAGAATCCAGCCAAGCAACTTTGACCTGTCTCATCCACATTTTGTGAAGTATTTCTTGTGGATATCCTGACCTCCTCAATCCTTTTGTTTCCCATTTAAGTGCCTGTTCAGTGATTCTCTGTCTCTTCTCCATACAATGCGCTGAACATAGTACAATCTTCAGTAAATTCTAACTGTTGTTATCACCAGTTGTTGAGACATTTACTTCTTCGCCTTCTTAAACTTATCCCATTGAACATTAATAACTTTCTGTTAGCATTAGTCTTCAAATGCATTCAACTTTCATTCCATGTCCTGAATCTTTTTCTTCTTTGCGCTGATGGGCTGTAAACTCCTTCTCAAGTTCTGGCTGTTCCTCCACTTAGGCACTTTAGTCTTATTCCAGAACCGAGTTTAGCATGCACAACTGTTTCACAGATCTGGCTTATTAGTATGTAGACTGCTGGCTCCTCACCTCTCAGGCAGATGCACTCCGACTTTGAATGAAAACTAATGAATCTGCTTTCTTTGACATGCTTATTGGGGGTCAACGGGTCTAATTAATCTTCTCCCCTTACACTGGGGCTCAGGATCCACATGAGGAACATGTCTTTAGTACAAACAGAAGAGCAACCAACCTTATCTCCATGGACTTCTCCATCAAATGCAACCACCTCTTGTTCATTTCCTCAAGTCTGGCCTGCAGTTTGTGTGAGTCTGGGGCCACCATTGCTCTTGTCACCTGACTTCCTGTGTGGTTGATGTTGTCGAAGGCGTTCTGGTAGGAGTCCACCTCAGCTTGCAGATCCTGCAACATATGATTAGATTATCACATTTAATGATTACTGTCATCAATGAGAGGGGCAAGATCATGTGCAGTAAATGTCATAAACACAACGGTTGAACAGAGACAGTTTTGGAGATGTATACAAAATGCAGAAGGACAGAAAAAGATAAAGAAAAATGGCTAATGAGGAAATTTATAATTTTCTAGGGACGGGCTCAAGTCTTGTTTAGGTAAGTAAGAATAATAAAAATATTATTATTATCTGCTTAATGATAATTAAATATAATATGCTTGACATATTATGAAGTGTATAAAACAAGCACTTAGAAAGCCCTCAAAACAAAATATGTCTTTGGGGAGATGGGGGTGGGGGCTAAGGTGACTGAGCTTGCTTACACATCGAGACTGTGAAAGAAACTGAGATTTAAAAAAAAAGGTTAAGGAGGATCATGAAAACTCCAAAAGACACACACTAATTGATGGAGAAACAAAATAATAGTAATAGAGACAGAGAGAGAGAGAGAGAGAGAGAGAGAGAGAGAGAGAGAGAGAGAGAGAGAGAGAGAGAGAGAGAGAGAGAGAGAGAGAAGGGGGAGGGGGCGGGCGAAAGCAAGACAGAGAACAACATAAAAGAAAACCAGAGAAAAAAAGAAACAAAGAAAGAGAGAGGGGAAGAGATCAACAGGGCGACTTAAGCTGTGCAAAAAATGACATCCCCGCAATAAAATCGAACCAATGCGCAGGAAACAGTCAGGTAACCAGGAGAGCTATTCAAAGCCAGCTAAAGGTTATGCTATGGCAGAAGCAGATTAAACAGGCCGTTTTACGAGAGGTCATTAACCTAGAGTCATATTATATCGTAGCCACAAATACACCTGATTCAGCAGATGGCGGTATTCTGTCTTCTAAATGGGTTTTCTGAAGCACACTCAATGCTGCGGATAGCTGGTGTCCAGTCTAACATTTGCAGTGATCAGAAGAGATAGGACAGCAACGCCAGCACTGCATGCAAGGTTATAGAAAAATGCAAACAATTTATGTTATCTGATCCAGATTTTGTGCGTGGCAAGGTTATTAAAAAAAAAAAAAAAATTTTATGTCATCTGATCCAAATTTTGTGTGTGGCAAGGTTATAGAAAAATGAAAACAATTTATGTCATCTAATCCATATTTTTTTTCTTAATCAGTCCAATTTTCCAAATTAATTAGTGTAAATAGGTGACATGTGCTCCGAGATCGGTTACGACTGAAATGTAATTTAAAAAAAGAAGAAGAAGAAGAAAAAGAAGAGGAAGAAGAAAAAGAAGAAAAGACTCTTTCCACGTCTTCAGGCGTATTAAGTATATAGTGCCAGACCTATATTTTATAGACCAATCGGTAGGTTATGTGATCAGCATCACACCGGCAACCTTTACTTTCCAGGACTTTACCTGGTACCCACTCAAATGGGGTCGACCTGACAGACAATGTCGATTCTAAAAAAATATTTAAAAAAAAAAAAAAAAAAAACGGTCAGTTGCATGAGAATTGGAACCGATGATTTGCTGATCCTCTGGCGAGCGTCTAGCCACTACCCTACATCTGTTCTCAAGACTAAAATAGGTACCAGGAAATGTGATGGGCAGTAAAGGCGATCTGTGTGAGGGTGACCAGACATGTCAAACTGAGGGTCCCACGAGGACCAGATGTTGTCATCATGACGGCCACACCCCGTTACTACCTGGGGTTAATTAATTAAAATAAAAAAATAAAAATTGCAGAATATTTCCTTTGTGTGGACCGCACGCGTCCTTGCAAAGTCTGACATGTCTGGTGTAGAATACTCAATGTCAAAAGATCAATAAAATAAAGATCTAGCAGTATATATATATACCGGCACCTTAGAATTACGAGAGCCATAGACACCGAGCACTCCCAGTCATCACCACTGTACCGAATATTCGCTTCGTATTCGAATAGTGGACCTAATAACTATTCGGTATTTGGCCGAATAGTTGCGGTCGGGCCGAATACGAATAGTGGTTACCTTACTCCCGTTTCTGCATACACTGTGATGGACTGAAATAACTCTCTCACAATAGTTTATGTTGCCTTAGTCTGTCGCAGGGGAAACTGCGACCCGGTTGCGTAGTACAAACTGCATAAAATGCCAACCGCAGTGTGCGTGTGTGAGTGTGTGTGTAGATGTGTGTGTGAGTGTGTGTGTCTGAGTGAGAGAGAGAGAGAGAGAGAGAGAGAGAGAGAGAGAGAGAGAGAGAGAGAGAGAGAGAGAGAGAGAGAGAGAGAAAGAGAGAGATCATGCATTTTTTTTTTCAGGGTGTCTTCGCAAAAATCAAATTTGAAGATATTGCTAACGAGAATAGGAAGGTGCGTTAAAATTACATCGAACGAACGACCGAGCGAACGATGGATTTGAAAGAGGCGGGAGCCCAAAGACAATTAATCACAGACATCAGAAGGAGACAGTCGTCATTTTTCAACCATGTTATGAGAAGAGGGAAAATGGAACATTTGGTGACCACTGGAAAGATCTGTGGAAGGAGGGATAGAGGAAGACAACGATAGAAGATTCTTGACAGTCCTGTTGCAAGGCATGGAGGTGCGTCAGCACACGAACTGATACATGCTGCAGGAGATAGCAGATTGTGGAGAGGCATGATCGCACACGCCAGTCGGCAAGTCACCTGATGATGATGATGATACACTATTCGTATTCGTGTTCGGCCGAATAGTTGGTCCCACTATTCGTATTCGGCCGAATAGTGAATATATATATATATATATATATATATATATATATATATATATATATATATATATATATATATATATATATATATATATATATATATATATATATTTGGGCTGTACCGAATATTCGGTATTCGGCCGAATAGTTGCGGTCCGGCCGAATACGAATAGTGGTTACCTTACACCCGTTTCTGGACTGGTAGAAAATAAACATATCAAGATTTCCCACCTTTGTTCATACTGTCAAGCGTTATCTTTGTGCACCACCTACGAGCGTACAAAGTAAACGTCTGTTTAGTACAGCTGGAAACACCTTCAGGGAGAGGAGAAGCTGCCTTAATGCTGACAACATAGAATGATTTTGTTGTTGTAAAAGCTAATGCCGCTTTCATGGATTAACTAAGCTGTCAGTGACAATTCACAAGTTTAGTTACTTGTTATAAAACTAAGAATACTTTCATTCCTGAGTATTAGTTACCACAGACTGACTAAAGGATGCAAAACATGAAATGTTTTTAAATGTTTAATATTCTATACTACATTTTGTAAAGTAAAATTTCAGCGTACATTTGACATTATGGATGTTTTTTGTATTTTTTTAAGATCTATTTTATACACGAAAGTGGAAGAATGGGCCTCAATTTGAATAGTGGGAAGACAGAAGTAATGGTGGTATCAAAGAAAAGAATTATTCCTAAATGTGTAATAAAAGTCAATGGTTTTTTTTTTTGGGGGGGGGGGGGGGGGGGAAGGACGAGTACAGAATTTTAAGTATCTTGGCACATGGATAACATCAGATGGAAGATGCATTGCTGAAATAAGAAACAGAATAGGACAGGCAAAAACTGCATTTTATAAAATGAAGAACATCTTATGCAATATATCGTTGTCATTGAAGGTTAGAAAAACATGCTGCAGGAGATCGCAGATTGTGGCGAGGCATATTCGCCTATGCCAGACCGCAAAACACATGATAATGATGATTCACTATTCGTATTCGGCTGAATAGTGAAAATCACTATTCGGTACAGCCCTAATACACGCACGCACACACACACACACACACACACACACACACACACACACACACGAGGCGTTAATGGTGCCTGAGGAAATCTAGCTTCATGGATAACACACTTACATACATACACACATACATACATATTTACACACACACATACATACGTACATACATCCATACATATATACATACACACATACAGGATACGAATTAACTTCCGGTCTAAAATGGAGGATTATGGATGGCAGAATGTTCAGCCTCGAAGTTATTTTTGCTTTTGACAGCGCTTTGCTAAAGGAATTTCCAAATAAGGATGACAGTCTAAGGTTTCGCCGTCTGAGCCACCGAGTTTAGTGCTCAGTGCAGCCCTGTGAGCTGAGTTTTTATTGTGGAATGACTTTCATTTGTGCAGCGGGAGTTTCGTAGTTTTTCAATACGGTTGGTAGCCAGTTAACATGTGTATAGCCAACGAATCGTGCCCGACTTCTTTCATCAATGACAAATTGCGTTTCTGAAGGCCACTGTTGGCTTTTGTGACTCTAGCAACTGCCTTATGAATTTACTGAGTGCGCATATTTCTGGATTGTATCGGGACTAATTGTTTGTTTGCCAGATGTTTTTTTTTTCTTTTAACGAGACTCTCGATACCACTGTCGAAACCAAAGCTATGCGGTCTGCTGGCAAATGATCAGCAGCTGTGATTGAACCCGGCACCTTAGAATTATGAGAGCCATAGACACCGAGCACTCCCAGTCATCACCACTACACACCGACCCGGGGGTCTTAGAGTAAAAGGGGTGACCAGAAATACCGCCTTGTTTATGTTCCATGTGTCCATTCCCATTTCTGTCACGCTGTATTCTAAATAGGCCGTTTTATGATGTGAGAACTTAAAAAAAAAAAAATCCTTTCAACAAACAGCATCTCAATTTCCCAGAAAAATTAACTTATAATCAAACCAGCAGGGAGTTGCACAGGCTCTCTCCTCTCCATCATTTACGTTCCAGAAGATGAAATGAAGCAGACGCTAAGATATTATTTATCCCTCCAGAAATCATAAATAGGCTAATTTAGTTTTGTTTTTCTTCCTCTTCGTGCCTCGGCTCCACCCAATACAGAAAGTGCGCTTAATTGTGTTATAAGGAACTTGAAAAGACAGAACGGAAATAAACGGCAAAGAAGGGGGCAATCATCTAATAACCTGTAACTTATACAGCATCGTTTTTTTTTTCTCGGAGCGGGTATTTAC